CCCCGCCCTAAGACCCCATGCTGAGGCCGCCGTGCCCACCTCCAGATGGTGACGGCCAGGGCGCACAGGACTCCCGTGAAAGACGGGAAAAAGAGCAAGAAGATGAAGAAGGTCATCATCTGCGAGGCCCGCCAGGCTTTGCTCGGGGGCTGGAAGTTCATCATCAGGCTGAACTGAGGAGAGAGAAGCGGCCACCTATGAGCTGCGAGCAGGCCAGGGGGCCCCTGGCAGGACACTGGCTCCCTAACACCCTTCCAGCCACCCCCCACACACACCCCTCAGTTCCAACCACCACTGGGTCACATGGGGCTGAGACAAGCTGACTGGCTCCAGCTTCAGACTGACTCACATTTTTCACATAAAACATGATGAAAAGAGTAATCATTTGGATAAAGGGCAGCAGAGGGCAGAAGAAGGTTCCAATCCTGCGAGGGAGAAAGGCTGAGTGTCAGAAATCAGGGGCGACATGGAGTGGGGACAGATACAGGGGTGTGGAGGAAAGGGGGTGTTATGTCTTAGCTCTGAATTCTTTCTTAGCCAGAACTCAAGTATAGTACCAAGGGTGCTGAACCGAGCTCCAATTTCCGGTAATATTAGGAACATTTTCTCTCCCATTGACAGAATGAGAAAGCTGTTTAGAGAGAGTTTAAGTAACTTGCCCAAAGGCATCCTGTTAGTTGACATAATGCAGGTGAAAGGCTTTTATAAGCTGCCCAGTGGCCAAGGGGTGACCTGGCAGTGTGCAAATGCATCGCTACCTCTAAAAAGAAATTCATTGGCATTCCTGAGTTATTTGCAGATGGCTAAATCACCCAGGGCTTGTATGAGGCTAAAGAGTTGGAAAATAAAACACTTTGCAGTTGTATGGCATATTGAAGACTGCAAGGCAGTTTCCATTTATCATCTGACTTAATCCTCAACACACTTCAAAGGCAGCCATTGTTATGTGCATTTTACAGATGCGGAGACTGAAGCTCAGAGAAGCACAGTGACCTCAGTGAGGAGCAGAGCCAACCCCAGAATCCAAGTTTCTTTGTTATAGCGGCCTAAAAAACTAATACAGAGGGAGCCTGTTTCTAACTCCAAAGCCCCTACTTTCAAATTAGCAATGCTCCAATAGATGGAATCTGGGAATGTAATACACCATAAGAATTCTGGCCTTAATTACATCAAGTTAAATTAAATAAATATAGTCACTGGCTATTGGTTTGAGTTTCTAGGTGAGCTTGTCAAAAATCTGATGCAACTAGCTGGCTAGTCTAGAAGCACACATGAGCACTCACAGGCACATATGCACACACACATGCACCTGCACAGTTGCTAAAACAGGTCTCAAAACCCAAAGGCTACGAAGGCCCCATTGGGTGTTACTACATCAGTGAGTGAAGCCCTCCTGTCCCTCTTTATATTCTCACTTCTGTTGAAACATCAATGCAAAGTAAACATTTCTACCGTAAGAAAATAAATACCATAAGGGCAACAGGAAATGGCAAATCTATGCTGGGAAGAGAGCAGTGACGTGGGGACCATGGCAAACTGGAGGTGCTCAGACCAGCTCAAGACCCAACCAATTATTACCATAACGGGAGATAGGCTACATCTTCCCTTTTTTGGAAGAAGCCAGAAATTTTAAATTTTATGTGAAATCTCCTGGTTTTTAAATATTGATGTTTATTTCAAATTTTTAGGAAAAGCACTGTGTGAGACAAGCAACACACACCTGCAGGCTAGATACGGCCCAGGGACCTCCAGGTTGGGATTCCTGCTCTACTTTGATTCTTGCCTGAAGTCCTCATAAAGGAAAAGGGACATAAGTTCCTGGTTCTCAAATAGGCTGAATTTGGTAGCCCCCCCCCCCCATGCAGCTTTAAAAACGACAGATTCTGGGAGTCCACAGTCAGGCAGGAACCACTGAGCACACTGAAGATTCTCAAAACTCACCACACCAGCGTTTGTGCGTAGATCAGTTCTAGGACGTTCCTGGCAATGTCAAACTCCTGTAAGCCAAGACTTGTCATAAACTGCATCCCAATGATTCTGTGAAAACATACTGAGTTTAGCACTCAAACCATTAACTCCCTCCTTCAAAAGATTTCCCACAATCAACAAAGGAGACCCTCACCAATTTGGAATAAAGTCATAACTCCCCTTACAAATTTTTGAAAAGTTTCAAGTATAAGCATGTTTTTGAAGAAATAATTGAGGGAATTGAGGGAAAATGGAATTGGCAATGCATTCAAATGGGGGTGGGGGGAGGTACGGCTAAAGTGGTTTAAAAAATCTAGAGAACATTACATTTTGTTACCTTATTATTTAAATTATCCTACCTATTGTCTTGTTTGTTTATACAACTGTTGACTATTTTTAAAAAATATGTTTTTACTGATTTTTAGAGAGAAGAAGAAGGGAGAGAGATAGAAACAGCAGTGAGAGAGAAACACTGATCGGCTGCCTCCTGCACACCCCCTACTGGGGATCAAGCCCGCAACCTGGGCATGTGCCCTGACCGGGAATCGAACCATGACCCCTTGGTTCATAGGTCTATGCTCAACCACTGAGCCACACCAGCCGGGTAAACTGTTGACTTATTAAGCCTTTTTTTATGACCAAATAAACCAGCCCCTTCCAACCCAAATAAATTGAAATTTTTTGTTACTGCTGTTGAATTAATGGTGTTTCCCTACTTCCAAATCAACAAGGAAGAAACCAAGGTCCCCACTTATTCTGAGGAAACTTGAGACCACTTTTATTTCTTCATACAGAAGAGTTGCCAATAAAAATTGCTGTCAAACAAACAAAAAAACCTCTCAAAACTTCTCACCTTTATATCTACGCCCCAAACAGAGGTTAGAGTACAAGTAAGTTTGGGCAGACTGAGTGAGAAATTTTGTCATTTAACCTGCCCACTGAAGAAAGAATCAGCACTGTGTCATGCCATCTTATTACTGCGGCAGCTTGCAGAAATATGTAAATATCTATAAAGAATGAGCTGTTCATCATATTAGTAGTAAATAAATAAGGACTACATATGGGCTAATGATGACACTGCCTCAATTCTGTACAGCTGGGTTCTAAAATAAAAATTGGTGCATTAACTAAATTCAATGAAATGAATCATGAGATAAGTCTATATGTACTGGCATCGGAAGGTGCCAAAGCCTTGGGATTAGTTAGTAAGAGTACACTCCACAACAACTGTGCAGTGTGACCCCATTTTTGTCTTTGATAGTTATACAGCACATACACATACAAAGCAGTATGTGCATAGAAAAATCTGGAAGGATATACACTAGCATATTAAAATTATCTATGGTGGGTAAGATCTCAAATGGCTCTCAGCTTTTGTGTTTTATTCCAGAACATTTTATTTTTTAAAAAGAAGGTTTGAAAGGGCCAACTGAACCCAAAAGAACTTTGAAAGCAGGACAGTTAGGTCAAAGTGAAACTTCAGGTCATTCAGAAGAAAACAATATCCCAAACGACAATAGCAGATTTAGAACAATGCACTCCTGGGAGCATGAGGGACCCATACTTCCTACTCAGTCAAGACAATGGCTCCAGTTACAACCCTAGGTACTAATCACTCAAGGCAGACAGACACTTACCTCCTCAGGAACTCCCCCAGGAAGGAATCAGCTAAAGAGAACACAAAGTCCATCAGGAGGAGCCGATAGATTTCCTGGCCAATGAGGGTTTCCCAACACTGGAAGGCAAACAAGAGTCAGGCTGTGGGAAGGGGCTGTTGCCTCTGCTCAGTTTCTATCTACTCCTGGCACCCTATAGAATCATGAGGGCATGGCAGGTGGTTCAGTCTGATGGAGTCCTCGGGAGCCCAGAAAAGTAGACCTACCCTTGGCAGAAAAGCACCTTTCGACCCAGTTTGCTTTTAGGGTGTTTATTCTTTTTCTGTGATGCTTCTTCCTTCATTAATGCTTGCTCTCCTCATGTACCCAAACTTTTCCTTCTCATGCTCTCTTAAACACTTGTCATTTCTGTCCTATGCCCTCTGGATCCCATTTCTCAGCCAGGGCTAATCAGTTTCTTCAGAGAGCAGGAGGCATAAATAGCTAATAATCCCTCCACTCCTTTTGTTTATTAACCTTATGAAAAATCAATTAATATCTGCTTGTTTAAGAAGGTAGCCTAAAGGTGTAGCAAGCTAGCACAAACTAGAAGGTTGAATTGGTCAGTTTGTGAAACTGGCAGCCAGGTACCTCTGCAGGAAGTTAGTACTATGAGCTGATGGATTTAGATTTGGGTGAATGAGGGGAGGAAAGTTTTGGATGCACAGCCCAAGGATGGGTGGGTGGGTGGAAGGATGGATGGATGGATAAATGGATAGATGCATGGATGGATGGATGGATGGATGCATGGAGAAATGGATAAATGAATGGACAGATAGAAGAATAACATGATATTTGTTCTAATATCATGAGTAGAAACTCTTGAGAAACTTGAGAAGCTCACTTCCTCTCTGGTGGTCAAAGGCTAAGAAACAAAAGTTAAGGCTGAACAGAATGGAAAGCTCACCTTTTCACCAGCCAGGGCCACGATGTTGAGCCAATAGTAACAAAGAATTCCAATGATTGATATTTTCAGAAAGAAGTTTCTGAATAACAGAAGAGAAAACAACTATTATTACTGTTTGTGGCAGATATTAGTGCTATTTTCCAATATTTCCTTTTGAGCACAAAATAGGATGGAAATTCCTGCCCCACTGTGGTTGAGTGGGGCCATATAGTTCTGGAAAATGAGCAAAAATGATGTGTGTCACTTCTAGGCTGAAGCATTTAAAAGCCAGTGAGACACCTTCCCACCCTAGAACTTACTGTCTTCCTTCTGGAATGGCCATCAGCAATATTTGAGATGATTGCTGCTCTGACAGCCTGCACATCTGCATGAGTAACATGAGCAAAAAAACCCTGCCAATCCACAATGGACACAGAGCATAAAAAAGAAATAAACCTTTGTGTTTTAAGCCACTGAGATTTGGGTGAAGGGAAATGCTTGTTACTGTAGCATAATCTAATTTATTCTGACTGACACAGCCTCTTTTGTTGCATCTCAAAATTATCTGATTTCACTTTTCATTATAATAATAGTGACCTATTATTCATTGGTTGCTACCATAGATAGTACGCTATGTTAGGCACTTTATTAAATCATCCCTCTTAATCTTTACATCTCTACTATCAAGTAGATGGCATTTCATGTCTATCTTACCAAGAGGGAACTGGAGCTCAGAGAGATGAAATAACTTGCCCAAGGTCACACAATTTGTTAGGGGCATGGCAAAGATTCAAACTGAGGACCATCTGATTCCATAGCCTCAGTTCTTAAACCCAGCTGTTTAAATCAATACCTGCTGGTTTTAATAGGGCTTCAGGATTGGTGTGCCAAGAATTATGTGTCACTAGACTAGTAGTTTTCAAAGTGTGGTCCTCAGACCAGCATCATCAGCAGCATCTGTAAACTTGTTAGAAGGACACATGTTTAGGCCCCACCCCAGACCTATGGAATCAGAAACTCAGGGAGTGGGGCCTAGCAATCCCTCCAGGTAATTCTGGTGCACACTGAAGGTTGAGAACCATTGTGTTAGACTCCACTGTGAAAGAAAGGAACAGAATATGTCTTTCTTAATGCCAGATCCCCAACCTCTTGCCCATTGCCAAACCCTACTATGACCCTCAATATCTACTTTAGTATTCTGTGATATTGTGAATTATAAGAAATACATATTTGGTCTTTGGCTCCCCTTTTGGCACAGAACTGCTAAAAACCCTTGGAATTTTTTCAGTGAGGAGGGCAATAAAAGTGTCTTTTGTTCTGCTAAGGAGGGACTTTTGGAAGTACCCAGAAGGTTGGAACTTTCAGCCCCACCACCCTGGCTTCTGCGGAGGGAGAAGAGCTGGAAGTTGGATCAATGGCCAAGGGCCAATGACCTAATCAATCATGCCTATGTAATGAAGCTCCATAAACCCCCAAAAGACAGGGTTTGGAGAGCTTCTGGGCTGGTGAACATGTGGAGTTGCCGGGAGAATGATGTGCCTGGAGAGGGCATGGGCACTCCCTGCCCCATGCATCTCTTCCATCTGGCCGTTCCTGAGAGATATTCTTTTAGCAAAGAAAAGTTTATCATAGAAAAAGTGTGTTTCTGAGCTATCCCATGTTCTCTTTATGTAGAAGGGATGTCAAATGTTTTGTGAAGCAATACAATTATGAGACAATTAACCTCTCTAGTGATCAGAAAAAATGCAAATTAAATAGTAAAGGCATTAGATCAAAGTGGCATACTGAGTATATATGTCTACCATACCCTCAACTTAGTTTTATTGAAATGATAGAAAGTTAGAAGCTCAAAGATTCATAAAGCAATGCAGAACAAGAAAAGGAGAAATATAGAGGAATGTATGGAATATAGAAAGCAGAAATGAAGGGTAGAAAGATTAAAAGATGAAAGGGGTTGATGGAGAAATAAGATAGAGAAAACCCCAGCTTAAAACAAATTTGGCAGAGGGTTGCCTCAGAGGTGGCTGTAGCTCTGGGGATGCCTGGAGCTTTGAGACGGCCAACACAAAGGATCTGGAGAGAGCAGCTGGGTGAGTATTTGACCACACTAGATGTCAGAAAACCTCAGAGCAATGTCTGTAGACTCCCAAAGGGTTAGTTAGAATACAGTCTTTGGCCCATCTAAACCCATGTGCAAGTAGAAAGGCAAAATAAAGATATGTTAGAACATGGAAGTATTTAGAAAATTGACCATCCCCAGGCCTACTCTAAATCATTTCTCTTCTTACAATATAAAGAGGAGGTTGTAAGTAGGATACATTAAATAAACACTGGTGAGCAAAGAAGCCAGTGAAACTTATTAATGTATACGCCAAAAAAACAAATTACTTAATGCCACTGAACTGTACAACAAAAAATGGTTAAGATGGAAAATTTCATGATATATACCACAATAAAAGAATCCCAATTGTCTCTAACCACAGAGAGATGGCTAGAAGTGAGGGCTTGCTAAGATCTTTCTTCAAGAAAGTAAGACAAATATAGATTAATTTTAAACACGGACCTAAACAAGGGGTCAACAAACTTTTTCTGTGAAGACCCAGATAGTACATATCTTTGGCTTTGTGGCCAAATAGTCTGTGTCGCAACTACTCATTTCTGCCATTGTAGCAAGAAAGCAGCTGCAGAAAATGTCAACAAATGGAGGTGGTTGTGTTCCAATAAAACTTTATTTATAAACAGGAGGCTGGCCTGCAAGCTGCAGTTTGCCAACCCCTGATCTAAAACATAGACATATATGTGTGTGTGTGTGTGTGCGTGTGTGTGTTTAAGTATCCTAGTTACAAATGTGAGGTTAACAGAAATGTGTAAGTTCTGTAGGAAGAAACTATAAACACTTATGTAAGTATAGATTTGCTCTCTGCGGAAGAAGCGTTCCAGGAAGAAGGAAAGGCCAGGACAAAGGTCCAGATGCGGGTACACAGTTTGGCATGTTTGTGAATCCATAGGTTGCCACTGAGGCTGGGGGCGCGCTGAGGAAGGGGGAGAAGTGTAGGAAATGAGGTTGGGGAGCCGGCAGGAGCCAGACCTCAGAGCCATGGTAAGGCAAGGGCTCTGGAACCGATCAGGAAAGAAACCTCCTCTGCATTGTACAGGCCTGTTGTCATAAACACCAAGAGCTGGCCAAGGAGAAGCAACAAGAACAAACTTGGGTAGTTTTATTGTTTACCAAACAATGAAACTGGGGTTACCTCTAGCACATACAGTGTTTTTGTGGGAGTCAAAATAAGCTCCCCGCCTCAAGCCAATGAACTGCCACAAGCACGCCCTCCGCTGCCATTTGGGTGGTCGGATTATAAAAGTGAGCCTCTTCCTCCTGGCTGATGCAGTGGTACCGGGGCTCACAATTTCACTCATGGACACACTGGATGATTTCGGTCCCCAGACCACGCCTCAGCCAGGAACCTCTGTGCAGTGCACAACCTGCCATATAACTGAGAACAATGTTAACCCTGCCTGTAGCAGCTGGGAAAATGTCATTATTTTGCACAACAGGCAGATGTAACTAAAAGCCTGTATTTTCTCTGGACCCTTTGGATTTTACGGCTATTAACCCACACCATACAAACGCACTATGTTTGAAATTCCTTCTGGAAAACGCTTGAGCATGGCCCTTCTCGCCCCCACCCCACTCCCTCCGTGGAAACGGAGGCTGGTGCTGGCGGTGACCAACACACCCACCGGATCAAGAGGACGTAGACTTCCTGCCGCGGCGTCTCGTAGCGCTCCACCAGCCTGAACCCCGAGTAGAGGCGAGGCACGGCCAGGTTGACGCAGGACACGGCGAAGGGCAGCAGCAGCACGGCCCCGGGGTCCTTGTGGCTCTGCAGGAACTGCAGGGGACGAGGGAGAGAATCCCCACGCCAGCTGCGCACTGGGCCCCTCTCTGCCTCGCTCGGGAGCCCCCCACCCTGGAAAACCCCCATAAGTGGTTCCTCTGGGGTTAGCTATGAAGTTACTGGTTAGTGAGCACTTGCCCTGTGCCAAGCATCCATTACCCACATGATTGCACTGACTGATCCTCGCTGCAGTCCAGCAGGTTACGTCTGACTTAACTGATGGGCAAATTGAGACGCAGAGAGGCGAAGATGCTTGCCCAGTGTCACCCAGCGAGGAAGGAACAGATTTGAGCCCGGATCTATCTGACTTAGGAGCCTGACCTCAAGAAGTCATTCTGAGACTTTCCTGCAATGAGAATTGCTCCCTGGCTGTTGGAGCCAAAGCTTGAGCTACTGAGCTACAGCACAAGGGTTTCCATCCCTGTGGAATATCTCCTCCCCGCTCCTGCGTGGCCTGGTTCATTTTCACCAGGCTTCGCCCGGTCTTGGGTGCTGAGTTAGGGGGAAGGGGAGCCTCTGTTAGCCCATGCCACACCTCTGTGTGAGGTCGGGAGAGGCGACCCCTTCCTTTGCATGGACACAATACCCTGGCATTTGGCTCCGAGTGGAGCCTGGGCTGCCTCTCTGACGGATATCCTTGGAGTAAAGGATTCCAGTGGATTTATCCGATGTCTCACAATGCCCCTTCCTCACCCCAAGGCTTGACACTGCCTCCATTTACCTCTGGATGGTTTTGAAAATACCACTCAAATTTTGGGAAGTATTACAAATTCCATCTCCCTCCCCATATTTATAAACTGCAAGGGCCAGGGCCAGATAAATAGCTTGTCTGAGCCTCTTTCCCCCCATCTGTGTAATGGGGAGATTGTCAGGTAACATCGCAAGAACTAACTGAGACCAGTAAGGCAAGGCCTGGCCCCTAAATGACACAGCTCGGGCACCATTCACATGAATTGTAGTTTCCAATAAATGAGCCCCCTGGAGTTGTGAAAAGGGCTGATCCTGCCTGGCATAGGACAGATGTTCAAACAATGGGAATGATCCCACTTCTGCCTCCTCTCCTCTGCTGCCTCCCTCGCTTCAGGTGGGCGTGGAAAATCCTCCCAGTGAGGAAGAAACTCAGAAGCCTTCTTTATATTTACAGCTGCCCTGTCACAGCTTCCACCCTAGCTAGGCAACGCCAGGCCCCCAGGAATGGGACTCAACTTCCCCTCTTTCAGGGCACACCTTAATATAGTTAATGGCAAGCCCATAGGGTTGTGTAATCCCGCACCCGTACCCTTGCTGGCTTCTCCTTCACTTGTTCACCCATTTGTTGAGCACCTACTATGTACCAGGTATTAGGCCAGGTTTCTGGCTACAGTCTTTCAAAGAAACAGATGCATAAAAAGGTATTTTCAATGCTGCATGTGACAAGTGCACAGGGAAAGCCTGCAGGTTAAGCAGCACCTAACTCAGCCTTGTGAGGGTGGTGGTGGTGAGAGAAGGCTTCCTGGAGGAAGTGATATCCATGCTGAGGTCTAGAGGAGGGAAAGGAGGAGTTTATAAGATGAAGGGAAGTGAGGGGGGATGTAGAATGGACTTCACGTTTCTCATCTAGAGATGAGGGAAAGTGTGGTGTGGTTAGGGAACTATGGACACACTTATTTAATGTTGCTGGTGTGGGATATGGGTGGTTGTGGGGTGTTGAGGCTAGAGATGTGGGCAGGGGTCAGATCATAAAAGATCTATCAACCATGCAACAGAGGACAGATTTTGTATTGAGGGTAATGGGAAGCCATTAAAAAAAGTGACCAACCTGCACCACAATTCTAGAGGTCAGCAAACTGGCTACATTTAGCCCCAGAGGAGAAAGCTGAAACCTACAGAAAGACAGTACTTTACCCAGGCCACACAGCTAATTGATCTCAGAGTCCCTATCATTTAAAAACAAAACAAAACTAACATTCCTTTATCACCCCCAGTACCAGGCACTGGGCAGACTATCCACATAACTTTTCTCTAGTCCTGACCACACACCTTACAAAGCCAGGTATGATCATTCCTATTTTACAGGTGAGGAGTCTGGGGCTCAGAAAGATTAAATCACTTGCCAGAGTCCATCATATCACAATACTTAGTGAGCGTCTACACTGTGCCAGGGGCTGTGGGAAGCATCAGGGATATAATAATAAAGGAAGAAACCAGAACTTGATCCCAGGTCTGCAGCCCAGAGTGTCTCACTCTAAGTCATGCACACACATCACCTGGGGACATTGTTAAGATGCGATTCCGAGTCCATGGGCTACAGGAGGTACCTGGGAGCCTGCATTTTTTTAACAAGTTTCTAGCTGATGCCGTTGGGCCCAGTTTGAGTAGCAGGGTCGACTCCACTCTCCCCTCCAGCCCTGCACCCCTGCACCTGGCTCCCTGCGCTCTGGCCCCTGGTACTTCGGGCACTCCAGTTACCTCGGAGTTGTTCTCAGCCAGGTAATAAACGGCTACACAGCAGGCGACGGCCACTCCGGTAGACACAACCCAGGCTGCCAGGTGGACAGACAAGCGGGTCAGCTGCTGATTGAGCGTTAACTTGATATTCTCCTGACGGATTTCTGACAGGTTCTCCTGTAAAGACAAGGAAGTCACATTGGCCCGCAGACAACCCCCGTCCCCGGCAGGTGAATACTCTTCACTCCCAGAGACACAAATCCACCCCTATCCCCAGGTGAGAGACAGGGAAAGTTCATGGTGAACATGGACTATGGGAGGCCCTGAGGGAAAATTTCAAATGGGCGAAACCCCCCAGCACTGCGCCAAATGCCTGTTTCATCTTAGAGGGACAGATGGGACCAGCAGATCGGGGCCCATGCTCCTGAGGAAAGCACACTGAGGTCATGAAACTTGAAGAACTAGAAGTTAACATCTGCAACCCTCTTGACAAAGCCCCTTTGTTTATACATTCTGCTCACTCTCTCTTTTTAATACTTTTTTATAGAACAGGGTTTTGCAGCCTCAGCATTACTGACATTTGGGGCCAGATGGTTCTGTGTTGTGGCAGCTGTTCTGTGCATTGCAAGATGTTTAGCTGCATCTACCCAAGAGATGCCAATAGCACCCCCTCCCCAATTGGGTAACAACTAAAAAAGTCTCCAGACAGTGCCATAAAACCCTGAGGGGCAAAACTGTCCAGGGTTGAAAACCACTGCATAAAATTTTAAACCTGGCACTATGAGGTCAAGAAGCATTTACATTTAACATTTTGTAAATTGCTAAACTGTCCTCCAGTAAGCTTGTACCAATGACAAAGCCATTGTGTCATGTGAAAATGTCCATTTCCTTACACCATGACAAGCACTGGGCATTATGAATATTTTTCTGGGATTTTGGGGTGTTTTCTTGTTTGCCAATCTCACGGGCAATACAAAATAATTCACTATTACTTTAAGAAAAATTATAGCCCGGCAGGGCATGGCTCAGCCATTGAGCATCTACCTGGAATCCTGGAGATCACGGTTTGATTCCCAGTCAGGGCACATGCCCAGGTTGTGGGCTCAATCCCCAATCTGGGGTGTGCAGGAGGCAGCTGATCAATGACTTTCTCATCATTGATGTTTCAACTCTCTCTCTCCCTCTCCCTTCCTCTCTCTGAAGTCAATAAAGCTATATTAAAAAAAAAAAAGTTATAGACATACTGAAAGAGAGGAGACTGGCCAGGGAACTTGCCTTACCCTTATCTCAGTGCTAAGATTCTTCTGTTTCAGCTTCACAGCTTTTTCGTGAGTGATGGTGAAGTCCCAGCAAAAAATAAGTTTAGTGATCCCTCTGGAGTAAATGTGGGGGTTAATGAAGTTGTTCCGGAAATACCTGGCCATACTAGGGAAAGCAGAAATAAAAATACCCAAGGATTATTAGGACAAGCATTGGGGATTAAAACAAAAGAAAGTCCTATCTTTAAATAGTGAAAGGTAACATGGAAAAATTAGCTCTAAGTTCTTCAGGAACAGTGTGATCACAAACAATGGTTAAATGCTCTGGCTTTGGGATCTGACAGGCCTGACTTACAATCCTAAATTGTCAGCTCGGGGATCTTAGTCATTTTAATTGCTCTAAGTCTGTTTCCCCACCTATATAATGGGCATAATAATAGTACTCACCTCACAGAGCTACTATGAGAGAGGTGTGTTAGTTTCCTATTGCTGCTGTAACAAATTGCCCCAAACTTAGTGGCTTAAAACAACACAAATTTATTCTCTTACTGGAAGTCAAAAATCAAAATGAACCTAGTCCTGGCCAGTGTGACTCAGTTGGTTGGGTGTCATCCCATGCACTGAAGGGTTGCAGGTTCGAATCCTAGTCAGTGCACATGTCCAGGTTGCAGGCTTGATCCCCAGTAGCGGGCGTGCAGGAGGCAGCGATCAATGTTACCCTCTCACATCGATGTTTCTCTCTCCCCTTCTCCCTTTCTCCCTCTCTAAAAACCCATAAAAAAAAATCTTGAAAAGGAAAAAGGAAAGAAAAGAAATGGGATATAAAATCAAGATGTTGGCAGGGCTATATTCCTTCTGGAGGCTCTAGTGAAGAATCTGTTTTCTTGCCATTTCCAGCTTCTAGAGGCTGCCTGCATTCCATGGCTTGTGGCCCCTTCCTTCATCTTTAAATCTATCAGCATAGCATCCTCCAGTCCTCTCTCTCTCTGACTCTCCTACTTCCTTTTTCCATCTTCTAGGAACTCTTGTGATTACAGCGGTCTCACCTGGATAATCCAGTGTAATCTTCCCATTTTAAGATCCTTAACATAATCACACCTGCAAAGTTCCTTTTGTCAGGTAAGGTAGTTTATTCATAGGTTCTGGGGATTAGAATGTGGACATCTTTGGGAGGTGAGGGGCATTATTCAGCCAATCACAAGGGTCAATGTAGTGCTTAGAGCAATAAGCACTCAATAAAGGCTGCTGCTATTGTCATGGAGATGTTAGGAGGACTCAGTGACATCAGGCTCAGGATAAGTAAGTGCTGAGTAAACTGGATACTCCTTTTACAAAATGTGCCACCACTGAGTTACAGCAGCTTAGGAAGCATTTTTTTAGTTTGATAGGAAAAAATCTCATTTTGCTTTCAGTTATCATGCTGGCAATGAGGTTGTTATGGGCTGACTTGTGTCCACCCCAAATTTCATATGTTGAGGTTCCAACACCCACTACCTCAGATAACAACTATATTTAGAAATGGGACCCTTCCAGATGTAATTAAGTTAAAATGAGGTAATTAAGGGTGGGCCCCAATCCTTACAAGAAGAGAAAATTAGGGCTCAGGCATGGACAGGGGAAAGACCGTGTGAGGACACGGAAAGAAGACGGACATCTGCAAACCAAGGACAGATGGCTGTCCTGTGTTGGAAGAAACCAATGCTGCCAACACCTTGATCCTGGACTTCCAGCCTCCAGAACTTGAGGAAACAAACTCCTGTGGCTTAAGCCACCCAGACCTAGCAAACTAATTCAGAGGTTGAACATCTGTACTTCCTCCCTGACATTTACCATTTGACAGTTGTCCATCCATGTCCTTGAGTCATTGCATCCTTATGTTCACACTGACCAATTTTTTTTAAAGCACATGAAAACCTCTCTCCTCTGTCTGAATTCCTATTTCATGTTGCAGGACAAGGAATGATCAGGCAGATTACAGAGAAATTGTTTCTGGGGTAACTGCTGAGTCTCTTGAATTTTGCCTAAATCTAAAAAGAGCTTAGAATCAGGAAATGCAGACACTTCATACCTGAACAGCAAACTGAAAAAGCAGGTGATCAAACAGGCCGCGATGGTGAAGATGTAGGCCAGCTGCATGTTGTAGGAAGCCCCACCGCTCCCATTTTGGATCGTAGAATTGGTGTAAAAGCCATAGTACATCACTGTGTCACTAAAATAACCCTGAAAGGGACAATAAGCCCTAGGTCAGGTGCGTATCTTGAGAAAACGATGAATGACTATGGTCATCACACTTGACCTCTTTTGTCTTCTAGAAGCTTGGACCAGTCAACTTTGATGTTTTGTTTGCAAAGAGAGGAGTGTCCAAGGCCACTGAGAACCTAGACATTTTATCACTAAGCTTTCAGAGTTGGAAAGGGATCCCAAACCAGCATAAAGGGACCCAGTTCTTCCCACCAGGACCCAGCGACCAAGCGAAGCGCAACTGAAAGCACATTGAAGAAGTTCATAGCAAAACGTCCTGAGGCCTGAAATCTACTGTAAAATGCCTCCCAAAACAATAGGACAAAGCAAATATGGCAAAATGTTAACAAATTTAAATCTACATAGTGTGTTTGTGGATGTTTATCATACTACCTTTTATTTTTCTGTATGTTTGAAATTTTTCATAATAAAATGTTTCATATAAACAAATACACAAAATATACATAGTAATGAGAAAAAATATACACAGCCTGGCCAGCAAGGCTCAGTGGTTGAGCGTTGACTTAGGATCCAGGAGGTCACGGTTCGATTCCTGGTCAGGGCACATGCCCAGGTTTCGAGCTTGATCCCCAGTCTGGGGTCGCGCAGGAGGCAGCCGATCAATGACTCTCTCATCATTGATGTTTCTATCTCTCTCTCCCTCACCATTCCTCTCGAGATCAATTAAAAAAATTTTTTTAAATTACACAATAGTTCCATTTAAATGCATCTACCCCAGGAAAATTTTTTAACAGAAAAAGGAAAAAAAAAAAAGACAAATGACAGGACATTACTTTGAACATTCTACTGCAAGAATCAGCAAACTTTTTTTTAAAATCCTCACCTGAGGACATGCCTTTTATTGATTTTAGAGAGGGAGGAAGGGAGAGGGAGAGAAAGAGAGAGAAAGAGAGAGAAAACCATTGATGCGAGAGTGAAACATTGATCGGTTGCCTCTCACACACACCCCGACAGGGGATCAAACCCGCAACCTAGGTATGTGCCCTGATTGGAACCCAACCCACAACCTTTTGGTGCACAGGATTATGCTCCAACCAAATGAGCCATACTGGGCCAAGGCAGCAAACTTTTTCTGTAAAGAGCTAGATAGTAAATGACAGGCCAATATGACATCCACAGCAATATCTCAACTCTACTGACACAGCAGAAAAGCATCACAGACACGCAAACAAATGAGTGTGGCTGTGTTCCAAAAGAACTTTATTTATGGGCACTGAAATAGGAATTTCATATAATTTTCATGCTTTTCAAAATGTTACTTTCCTTTTGATTTTTTCAAGCATTTAAAAATGTAGACACCAACTCTACTTTGCAGGCTGTACAAAAACAGATGGCCGGCCAGATTTGGCTCTCAGGATGTAGTTTGCTGATCCCTGGTCTACAGAATCTCTATGGTCTATGGCAACCTCCTAGAAGGTGAACTCACAAGGTAGGGGCTAAGTGCCTCAATGAAGAGCTGGGTAAATAAATTACGGTTGCTATTAAATAGAATAATGTGGACCTATATAGCTATCCAAGATACATAATAAAGCAAAAATGTTGCAAAACGAGACTTGGAGTATCCTCTTTTTTTTGAGATTTAAAAAAAAAATTAATTTTAGAGAGAGAGAAAGAGAGAGAGAAAGATGTGACAGAGAAACATCAATTGGTTGCCTCCTGTACATGCCTCTGACTGGGGATTGAACCTGAAACCTGGGTCTGGGCCCTGACCAGAATTGAACCTGTGACCCTTGGGTGCATGGCATGTTGCTCCAACCAACTGAGCCACACCGGCCAGTGCCCCTATCCCTTTTTTATTTTTTAAAAGTATATCTATCTGCCTACTTACCTACCTATGCATGTATGTCTTTATGCAGGTATGGGAAGAAAAACAGTGGACAAAGATACGCTCTGAACTGGGGGGTTAGACAGGGAAGAAGGGTCAATGCCCTTCTCTTAGTTTGCTCTCCTCTGTAGTAGGCATTTTTCAAAAGGAGCATTATATTTTGTAAAAAAAAAAAAGAAAAGGTAGATCCATGAACACCAACGTGAGATATTCGCCACATATTAGAAGAAAGCAAGTCAGAGGCAGTGCGTGTGAGTGATTCATCCTTTGTTAAAAAAGAGAAAAGGGGGCACATGTACATGCCTACTGTGTGCGCAGAGAAAGGGAGTCTCAACAACACAGTTACCTCTGGAGGCAGCAAGTCTACTATGTTGTTATGTGTATATGTTATTTTTGGGGGCAGAAGAGAAGCATTAAGCACCCACTTTCCCCATCCGTTGACTCCCAGGGACAGTGAGAGGTCTGCAGCGGGGACCAGCAAGGGGCGTCCCTGGGCTCCCGAGGCGCTGGCCCAGGCGGGGAGCGAAGAACTTACCGCCCCAGTGAAAAATTCCAGCCCGGTGAACTGCAGCGTGTTGGCTGCGGCCATGGTAAACTGAGGGATTATGATGAAGCTGAAGGTCACGATGAACGAGAAAATGTTGAACTTCAAAAGCCACCTCAGGAAGTTGAAGTAAGACAGGACGCTGGTGCCGAACTTGCCTCCGATGACCTTGAGCCTCTTCTGCCACAGGCTGACGGAGCTGAGCACCTCCGACAGCATGTTCTTGGACCTCCGGTACTCCTGGGGTTAGGACAAGGCCTGACATTCCCTCGGCAAGTATCTCCTGAGCAGGCCCCGCAATAGCCAAACCGGCCACCGTTTCTGGAGCATTACAATGTGCCAAGCACCTCCCTAGGCATTTGCAAATGTCATCTCCTTTAATCCGCGGGGCCGCCCCTGGAGTGGGTGCATTATTATTTCCCCAGGTTTGCTGCTGAAGGCGACACTCACAGTGGCTAAACTGCCCAGATAACTCGGACCTTTGCACACCCACCTGGTTTCCCCACACCTACAATCACCCAGTTTTTATGGCTTTCAGTGAAATACCCTGAAATTGGTTCCTCCTCCCACGGACCCCCTTTCATCCCCACTCTCCCACCTCCCTGTTCCCAGCCTCCTGTGCTCATTTTTCTGACTGCAGCAGAGGCGGGCTTACCAGTGAAATGGAGTTCAAGCACTGAGTGCAGCAGTTGAACTCAAAGATACGACGAGGCTGCTTACTTTTCTCTTTGTCAACCATTTTCCTATGGGAAGCGGCAGAAGAAAGTGAGAGATGCAAATGCTGTAATACATTCATTCCCAAAATATTTACTGAGCACCTACTACACGCCAGGCACAGTCCCAGGTGCAGATAAAGAGATCAATTTCAAAAATAAAATAAAATAAAATCGATTACTACTACATTAAATCCCAAAACAAGTAAAAAAAAAAAAGGGGGAGAGAGACAAGTTTCCCTGCCTCACGGAGCTGACTTCCTAGTTGGAAGAGAAAGACAGTAAACAATAAATATAATGATAAAATGGGTAAATTATATGGCACATTAGAAGGTAATTTGTCCTATGGGGAAGAGAAAGGACAACGGAACAGGGGGAAAAGATTGGGAATGCTGGGGCGTGGACTGTGTTACAATTTGAAATAGCGAGACATTTGAGTTAAGTCTTGAAAGAGGGGAGGGAGGGACGTAGTATGGATAAGGGACTGTCCAATGCATAGGGACACTCAAAACCCCAAGGAGGCCGAGGTGGCTGGACTTTTCTATTCCAGGACCCCACCCACACTGCAGTTAGTTGTCATGTCTCTTTAGAATCCTCAAGTCTGTAACAGTTTCTCAGACTTTCCTCATTTGTGATGACCTTACAGTTTTGAGCACTACTGGTTGGGTATTTTGTAGAATGTCCCTCAGTTGGGGTTTGCCTGACTTTTTTCTCCGGTTAGATTAGGGTTACAGGATTTAAGAGAGAGTGCCACAGAGGGGATATGTCCTTCTGATCGCATGACTTATCTCTGAGGATGTCAACCTTGATCTCTGGCTGAAGAAGTGTTACCTCCCCCCCTTTCCACACTCTACTCTCTAGTTCCTGGTCACTCAGCACACACAGCCCAAAGAGACCATCTTCTCTTGCATTTGTTCATCTCTTATCTTTCTGAGATGCAGCAAAAGTAGAAGATTGAGATTGGTGTAAAATCTGGGAAAGAAGAAGAAAAGCTTTTGCTCCATACTTAAGGTTCCTTTTCTCTTCCATGGTCCTTGGCTGATTCCTGATGGCTTTAATTCTCTCTCTAGATGTCATAGGTATCAGAGATGCAATTAACTTTTGTTCTGTGGAAGAAAATAAACGGAGTTTAATTTTTCCCCCTAACCGAATAATGGCACATTAAAATATGGGGCTGCAGTTAGAGCATGCTTTTACAAGGGCAAGGAAAGAATGTATGGACTCAGGGATCCCAAAGGTCACACAAATAAAAACAAGACAGCGTATGCTTCTGTGTTAAACCTCAAAGCCAAAGAAAACTATAGTGTGCACGCAATTCCATGCTTTCTTTTTCCACGACAACACCCTGCACATTAATATCCCTCACTTTAATATCCCACATCACTTCTCTTGCGCCCTGGATTCCAAGCCCGAGCATCTTGCAGTGCCTGACTGACGCCAGATGCTCTCCTACCCAAAATGACTTCCCCATCTCTTCTCCTAACAACTGGTGATCACATTTTGGGTCAGTGTGGCAGATAATGTTGGTGGCCTACCCCAAAGTCATCTCTCCTTTTCAATAGAATCCAGATTTTTGTTTCTCCCATGGCCCTGAGCTTCTGCAGGGTGGGACCCATCTCTAGGCACAGGGGACAGGTCCTGATGAGTCCAAGCCAATCCTGAAGGTCCTGTCCCCTTGCAGGTGACCGATTTAGGCACAGGCTTGTGACAAGATGTTGGCCAATGTTCTGTGAGGGGTGGCCTGTGGAGGAGCTTCTTGGCAAAGGTTTCTTCCTTCCCAAAAAAGCAAAACTCAAAGCACAAGGAAAGACATCCTTCTTTTCCTGAATGTTGTTGTGTCCACATATGACGCCTGGAAGTGCTGTTACCATCTCCTAACAGCGAGGAAGCCAGCTGGGGCCACAACCTGGGGAGCAGGCTGGCTCCCTGGTCAAGCTCTTGCGCCAGAACCTCTCACTTTAATGACATTCCTGCAATCGAGGTGGAGTGAGTTCCCAGGGGAGGGTCACCAATCACTGGGATGAGGAATTCGTGTCTCTTTCTCAGAGATAAAGAGAAGAGAAGGAGGGGCGAGAACATAAACAGGCTCGAGGGGACAGCAGCCTGACAGGAGACACCCCAATTTTCATTTAAGGGGCTAAAGCCACAAGATGCTTTGGTGTGAGTGGATTTTCCCCCCCTTGGAAATCATGGAGAGAGGCTGGACTTTATGCCTGGGGTATTATGGACTGAAACAGAAACAGCATCTAAAAGATCAAACAATGTTTGACCTCTGGAGCAGAGAGGCAGGGAGGTCGCAGCTCAGTAGGACCTGGTCTCATGGCGCACTTGGCAGCAACAGGCATCCTGTGCGGCCGAATCCAAGGCGGGAAGGAATCGGGCCGAAGCAGAACCGGAGGGTGGCTAAGGGATCAGGCCTGGGAATCAGACAGACCTGCATTTGGGCCCCAGGTCTGCCAGATCACTTCATTTGCCTGAGCCTCAGTTTCCTCATCAAGCAGATGGAAATGAGAAGGCGAGAGCCAGGCACACGAAATCAGCCTGCTCTATGTCACCTCCTTCTTAGGTGATAAATACTCTCAAAGTGACCCCTTCCTTGGTCCCTAATATCCCCAGGTCATCTAACAAACCTTCAGCCTACTTGATGCCTTAAAACTAAAGAACTCTGGGGACCCCTTGGAGGCTGCCTTTGCTCCTTTGCCCCAGGGTCTTACTACCTTGAATGTCTTCATGTGAAGCACAAGGCGTGTCCATGTCCACACTGTCTGGGCTACGACGGGTCTGAGAAAACGCTTCATTCAAAGGCGATGCAAAGTGTAGCAACTGCTTGGCCTTTTTGTCATTCTGGTGGCTGAAAATCTGAGAGCCTGTCACATCGATGTCGGATCTGGATGAGACCATGCCGAAGCTCGAGTTCACCAGCAACTTTGCCGGGACATTCAGATTTGAGGATAGGTGGCTTTGGGCCCCCGATGGAACATTCTCAACATCAATGATGATTTCATTCACTTGGTCACCAGACAGCATCTTTCGCCCCCTCCAAGCCTAATCCTGCCCTGGGACGGGCTTCCACAGACCTTACGCAGCTGTCACAGAGGCGATGGCGAGAACCACCAAAGTGACAACATCACAGAGGGATGCTCCATTCACATTTTTTAAAACGCCAGGATGAGACTGTCAAAGCCAGCCCCACACAAATCACAAGGTAACTAACTCCTCACATCTACACTAGCTGCGTCTCCTAGGAGGAGGTGTGTTTCCCTGCAGAGAGCTCTGTCTCCATAGCTGGGCAAGAAAGAGGAAACAGAACCCTTCATCCAAGACAATGGGGTTCTAGAAACAGAAGGCAGAGATTCTTCTAAATGACTCACCATCAAAGGGCCGGGTTTTCTTTTTAATTTGGTGTCTCTGGCCTAAAACTTATATTTTATCTTCATAATTTTATATGCCTATATAAATCCAGGTGGGTTTATAGTGAAACCATTAGTATCTCCTGATTGCCTTGGGGGCCACCCTGATGTTTGTCTGCCTCCCAATATCTGTTCTCTATTTTTATTCTGCCAGCAGGGGTCTCCTTTCCTGCACAGGGTCTGTGCTCGGTTACAACTGTCTCAGCTGTGGCCAAGGGTGGACCTGTGACCCCATATTGGCCAATGAGGCATGTGGCGTCCAGGAATGCCCTCTAAAAGGTGACAGTTTGCCTGGTTTCACCTGACCAGGGGCCACCATATTGAAAACAAGAGGACAAACATTCACCGGCTAAGGATGGTGGAGAAAAACCTATAGAAGGAGCCTCAGTCCTTGAGAGCATATGGGCAGAGCTGCTGTGCAGACTCGGACTCCCTTCCTCACTTCCTGTTACATGAGAAAATAAATCTGTGTTGCTAAGCCACCGGCCAATTTCAGTGCCAGGCACCCGAACACAATTCCTATCTCGCTGACCTGATTTGGAAATCGCCTCAGCCAAGCTGTTTATTTAATAATCGGAGAAACTGAGGTGCAGAGAAATGAACTGACCCTCCTCCTCCTCACACTGATTAATGGCAGGACTGGACTAGAACTCTAGTCTGCCCGCCAACGATAACTGACAGTAACAACACCTGCCATTACAGCAGGACAAGCACTTTAAAGAGAGTGTATCATTTAATTTTCCTCAGCACCCTATGAAGTAGACACAACAATGAACCTCATTTTATAGCTAAGAAAACTAAGGTCACAAAAGCAGTAAGCAGCAGGGCAAACCTAGGTCTGTCTGTCCCCAAAGCAGGGCCTCTAATCACTTCCCCCTGGCCCCTTCCTGTTACAAGATGTTGATGTATCACTCATTCATCTATAAGAGTGAATATTTATGTGTACCTACTAGGTGCCAGGTACTTCCTTGGGTACATAGCATAATCCATCAAATGACCCTTTATCTGGAGGCTGTTCTCCAATTAATTGTACATGATTTGAGAATCAGAAACAACTCAAAGCAAAATGGTAGAGAAAGCCAGGTTCATCTTTGAGTCCTCCATTTCTTTACTTCTCTCTGTTTTCTGGGGGCTCCTCTTTTACCAGAAGCCCCAAACCTCAGGCTGGCAAGATAGAGCAGTCCGATGAAGTTTAAAGACATTTCTTTTCCCCAATACTTAAGGCCATTCTCTGCTCCAGTGGGAACCGAATGGAGATCATTTATGTCCCCATGGCTTTCCCTCGTAAGTGGCAACAGCTAACCCCGTGGAAGATACAACTCCTTGAGAAGGTTCTCAAAAATGTGGCTAAATTTTATCGTACAGGCTAGATGGCCTGAAGGTGGGAGATACTGTAGCTTTGAGTCATAGGGCCCCTCAGTTTGCGGTGTTATATGGAGGAGGCCATGGGTTAGGTTCTTATTCACAGATTTGCCTCTAGGTTCCAGGATTCCCTGGCCTCTCTCCTCTGTTGCTCCCTTTTTATTTCTTGGTCTCTGCCTCTGATCAGACTTTCATTGTGACACACAGTGGTCATTACAAAGCTTCCTGACTGATTTCAAAGCCTTCTGTCTTTCCCCAGTGCAACTGCTTCTACAGTCCACTATCATTAATAACTATATGATGATTCAGAAAAAAGTTGATCAAGGCACTGCCACCTCACCACCAGACGTATTCACCACAGGATGAACATGGGACCCAATCTTCTTTTCTATGCTAAAAATAATTAGTCCGTGTGTGTGCACGTGGCCCCAAAGAGTGCTGGGCAGAGTCGTTCCTCATCATTGACTAACAGGCCCAGGGAGGAAGGAAGACTTTCTAATGAGGTTGCTGAGCTGAGGGTATGTATCTAAGCCTGCCACTGGTCATGCTCTCTGGCCTGTGGAGAAGGTGTGACTATGAGGCGAAGCTTAAAGAGAAGCTGAGTCAGGCACAGGTGAGAAACAGATGGAGAAAAAGAGAGTCCAGGTGGCACTAAACCCGTGGCTTCAGACGCAGAGGCCCTGGTTCCTGTAACTCATTCAACAAATTAATTCAACAAATATCTGAGCACCGGCTGTGTGCCAGGCACTGTACAGGTGCTGGAAGGTAATTCTACCTTTAATTCTTTGTTTCCCCCATATCCTTCCCCACGCACATGCCAATAAATTCACTTTGGGCCAGTGTGGCTTAGGTTTCTGTCACTTGCAACCAGAAGAGTCCTAATGAAGCCACCTTGATATCCAGAAGAGAAAAAATTCTGCATGTCTAAAAGAAAACCTCTTTATGGTAAATTTAGAAAGTACTCTTCGTATCACACCAGAGGCTAAGAGGAAATGGCTATGTCTGCATTGCTTGAACGTTCCTTCTCCAGTGTTGAATTTTTGGTCACTGTTCACTTAAACCTTACCTTGGGGTGACTTGTGCCAATCACTTCCAGATGGTGAGTTTCCAAAAGCTGGGCCAGGGCTACTTTCACCCACATAAGCAGGGTTCACTGGAACAAAGAGGCAGGAGACATCACCATTAATCCCACCACACTAGATATTACTGAGCACACAGTGGTCAGTAAGACTGAGACCTTGACCTCAGGGTTCTAACAGACTAATGATTAAGCACTTGGGTGAAAAATAGGACAAAAATACAAAACAATGCTGTTAAATACAAACAGCCTTGATTGATGGTTTTCATTTGACCATAAGCCACAGTTAAAAATAATTGTTACACTGAGATCCAGGATATGCCTACACATGCATAACTAAAAAAACAAGTTTCACAAAACTATATTTAGCTTGACTACATAAATAGCACTCAATATATTCTTACTCTTTTCTATTTCATTTCTGAAAATTGATTTCACGACTTGTTAATGGGTTACAGCCCAGAGTTTGAAAAATACTTGTCTAGGAGGGAGGGATGAATAGGTGGAGCCCCAAGGGGTTTTAGGGTAGCGAAAATATTCTGTATGATACCATGATGGTGGATACATGTCATTCATTATTCATTTGTTCCAATCCATAGAATGTGCAACACCAAGAGGGGACGCTGATATAAACTATGGACTTTGGGTGATAACGGTGTGTCAATGTAGGTCCATTGATTGTAACAAATGTACCAGTCCGGGGGGGATCTTGATCATGGGGGAGGCTATATATGTGGGGACTGGGGATATATGGGACATTTCTGTTACCTTCCCCTCAGTTTTATTGTGAACCTAAAGCTTAAAAAATAGTCTTAGTTTTTTTAAAAGTTAAGCAAAAAAACCCCAAAAAGTCTAGATGTTTCTAGAGGTTCCTTCTTAGCATTTTATGTGTGGCCAGATCCTCAGATGTGTAAATGCATAAATGAATTTCAAACATGACATGATTTTCTTACGGGCAGAGTCACATTTCAATATCTTTTTATTCAACCCATGGTAAACATTAAAGGCTCAACTTCTCAACAGAGGAAATGGAGCATGTTTTGTTGGTGACTTGCACAAACTTACATTGTAAGAGGCTCTGAAACTTCTCACCAAACATCAGTTCCCAGTTTTGCTACTTATTGGCTGTGTGCCGTGCCCTTGGGCAAGTTACTTAAGCTCTATGAGCTTCAATATCTTAGTCTCAAAACAGAGATAATATCTTTTTTCACTATTGACCCATAAGGTGTCTTTTTAGACATTTCTTCCCCATTGCCCTCCCCCATGAAATGTTAATACCACGGAGAGACTATATATTAGACTGTATATCTGTTCATAGACAGCATGTGTATCTGTGCTTTATATATAAAAAAGAGGAAGTTTTTTCTGGCCTTTAAAAATAAAATCTCATCCCTTGGGATTGATTTTGCCCCACTGATAATGCATGGCATAAGGTTGGGAATAGCCCAAATGAATGTTCTCCGTGCAAATGTGTAACAGTTGGTGGTGTTCATTAGTGCACGGCAATGCCTCCCATCCCCTCCTCTCTGCCTGCTTCCAGCTTTCCCCATCTGCCCCTTCAGGGCTGAGCAATCCTCCATCTGCTCCAGCCAGCACTTGGGTCCCTCATTCTGTTCTTGGCTGAACACTCCCTCCCTTTTCTTGGCCCTGGGGGCTCTAAATACCTAGAACATTGACTTACGTGTAATAAACTGGCTTCCTCTGTCAGTAACAAGTCCCTTTTTCCTCCGACAAGATAAGAAACTAGTAGAATTTCCTTTGCCTCCCAGAGCCAAACCTTTACACACAGCAGATTCTGAAGATGATGTGATGATGTGATTTTTCACATATTAATAGTCTGCTTGCTAATTTTCTTTAGTCTTACTGTGCCTGTGTCACCTACCCACTTAGGCTTTAAGTAACTTGAGGACAGAGCTGCCCCTTCCTCCCCTCGCCTCCCAGCAGGTTTTGAATACACAGGTGCTGACTGGCTGACACCTTTAGGATGCGCTGGACTAAAGCTGGCCACCGGCAGCACACAAACTGAATTCAGCCCACCAGTGATTTGGTTTGCCCAGCTCAGTGTTTTTACTTTTCTATTATTATTTCGGAGTATGTAAAAATCAGGGGTTTCATGTAAAAACAAAGATTTCTTACTTCTTTAGAAAAATCTGAGGATCTGGCCACACTTTACCCACATTCCCACGTAACTGTGAGCACAGCCCCTCCCTGGCCTGCTCTGATGGCTGATGAGACTGTTTATTCTCTAGACATCGAGTTCTCAGTCCCTGTAAGGTGCGGGCTTGAGTGGGGAGGGATAAACCAATTCTTCTATTACAGTAGATCTTTAGCGATTGCTGCTCTAAGTCCACTGAATTTTACTTTCTCCCCAGGATGTGATCCTCATCTTAATAAATGCTTACCATAGCCATCGCGAGGGTGGCCATATGGACTTGCCATCTCCATGGATTTCATTTCAATGTTTTCAGGGTAATCTTCATTCGCCCTTGCAGGCAAGCCCAAGGGACTGACACCCCCATGACGAAATGAGGGCTGGATTGAAGATGTTCTGCCGAGCACCCTGAAATTCCAAAATTATGGATTAATATCCATCCAGTAGCATGGTAAGGACAGTCATCAATCCATCTATCTGTCCATCCATTTATTCCACAAATGCCAACTGAATGCCATCCATGTGTTAGGCATGGGCTGGGAGATGTCTACCCTCAAGGAATTTGTAATACAGTCTGGTAGAGTGTCTTAGAAACCACCATAAACAATTATAATACAAGTAGCAACTTGTATTATAGGCCCGAGTAGTTCGGAGGAACAAGAGAAGAATTCTGGCCAGGAGTTTGGGGGAAAATCTACCTCTAAGCTGTATTGGAAGGATTAATTCATACATAAAAAGTTACGAGGAGGACATTCCTAGGATGAAGACCAGCAGAAATAAAGGCGTGAGACCAGAAAGTGCTGAAAGGGAATGGCATGAAAACCAATTAACCTGGGTCATTTAAATCAATTAACAATGGTTCTCACTTTTATGTATCTATCAATTTCCAAGTCCCACCGAGACAATGAAATCAGAAGCTCTGAAAGTTGGGCCCAGTCAGCTGTATTGTTTTTAAAGCTCCCCAGGTGATCAGGTAATTCTAAGGCTCAGCCAAGTTCAAGAACCACTGACCTCGACTGTAAGGTTAAGGTACAGAAGGGACNCAGCCAAGTTCAAGAACCACTAACCTCGATTGTAAGGTTAAGGTACAGAAGGGATAGGAGAGAAAGGAGGTCAAGTTAGGCTGGTCTTTGGCTGGCATCTTATAATTAGCCCAGTGCATTCTCATTTTGAAATGTTTCCCCAGGTTTGGGCTTTCCCCCAAAGGTTGTAGAGACTTGTGGAAGTTGAGAAGCAAAGGAATGACAGGGTCAGAAGTGTATTTTGGAATGATGAATCAGGCAGCGGGGCAAGACATGGAGGACATTTTGACCTGGTCGTGTTAACTCTACTATTCAGAACCTGAAGACATTTTGACCCTGCTACACACCCAAATCCCATATCCTTGTTCCCTGAGATAAATACAAGCTATTAGTTTTTGTTGATTTCATAAATATTACTTAGTAGAAACAGTATATGCAAAATGAGACTCATACTGGTTAGACTTTCACATGGTTAAAATTTGTTATTGATTTTTAAAAATTTTCACCAGAGGATATGTTTTTATTAATTTTTTAGAGAGAGGAAGAGAGAGAAAAACATTGAGGTGAGAGAAAAACATCAATCAATGGCCTCCTGTACATGCCCCAACTGAGGCTCGAACCCACAACCTAGGTATGTGCCCTGACCAGAACTGAACCGCAACCTTTTTGGTGTAGTGGATGACACTCCAACCAACTGAGCCACACCGGCTAGGGCTTGTTATTGATTTTTTTTAAAAAACCTTACTAAAGAGTCACATCTTGTTGGCAACATGGACATTAAACATTTTAACCCAGGAAAAATTAGAATTGGTAGAACTAAGTCACCCAAACTAGCATTGTAAGGCCCAGAACTTCACCTAGTAAAATTTAATGACCAAAAATTGATGGAAGATTAAAGCTTTTTTTTATAGCTCAGCTATAAAGGTAAGCAATTGAAGAATTGAGTTCATGGAGTTAGATCTTCAAAAAATTTTCTTTATTGCTATGTATTCCTGTTGATATACTTCTGGTTAAAATATTTGGGTTCATAACTATCAAGTCTTAACCCTACCAAGTCGTTGACCTGCAAAGTAGCAGTTCAAAACAGTGGGGATCTAAATGTTTTGCAGGGATTGGATACCAAGTGGAGACTGGGGAGGATGTGACCCAAGCAAAAGGTGATGAAAGATTATGTTCAGGTAAAAGCTTAAAGGCTCAGTCTGAGAGTCCATGGCCCAGGTGAGGTCTACAGGTAGGTATGAAAGTATCACCACAACTTCAGGTCACAAAAACCACCATATGCGTCCCTCACCCAAACAATGGCAACCAAGCTTCACTGACTCAGCCCCTCCGAACCCCTAGTAGAAAGAGATGCCTGCACTTACCCCCTGGTCATTCCCGGCGTCTCAGAAGAACCATAATCACGACCATCCTCAGCATTTGGGTAATCAGGCTCCCCCCCAAAATTTGGAGAGTTCTGATAGTCTTCAGCACCAAGATAGTCTGGTTTCCCTAAAAAGTTTGGAGAGTAAAGTTGATTCTCAGCACCTGGATAATCAGGTTCTCCAAAGGTGTCGATGTATGGTTTGATTCTAGAGCCAGCATATTCTCGATTCCTTCTAGAGCCTGGATAGTTGGAATTGACTCTGGGGCTAGGATGGTTAGCGTTTCCCTGAGCTCCAGGGTAGTCTGGTTCTCCCAAGGAGCCAAGGTAATCAGGATTTGTTCTGGAGGCCACATAGTTTCTACTGCTTCTGGAACCTGCAAAGTCAGAGTTTCGTTGAGATTCAGGGTAGTCTGGCTCTTTGAATGAGCCTGGATGGTATGGATTGCTCCAAGATCCGATATAATCTGGCTCTGCGAGAGGTGTGGAATAGTCTGACCTTCTGGAGCCTGCAGAGTATGGGTTGCTCCTGGTGCTACGGTAGTCTGGATTACTCTGAGATCCAGGATAATCTGGCTCTGCCAGAGACGTGGGATAGCCTGAACTTCTTCTGGAGCCTGAAGAGTATGGATTGCTCCTGGTGGCAGGGTAGTCTGAATTACTTCGAGGCCCAGGATAATCAGGTTCTGCAAGAGACCGGGGATAGTCTGGATTTCTTCTGGAGCCTGCAGAGTACAGACTGTTTCTGGTGCCAGGATAATCTGGATTACTCAAAGATCCAGGGTAATCTGGTTCTGCAAGAGACCGGGGGTAGTCTGGATTTGTTCTGGAGTCTGAAGAGTATAGGTTCCTCCTGGTTCTGGAGTCATCGGAGTTGTTCAGAGGACCTAGAGAATCTGGATAACCCTGAGTTTTCAAATGCCCCTGTGTGTAGCTCTGAGACCTTGAGTAGTCCGGGTAATCTGGATCTTCTTCATATCCGCTGTTCCTGTAGTAGGCAGACATGCTGCTACAGATCCTTTACCCTAGAGGTTCAACTGTTCCTGCATTTGTGTTACTCAAGGATCTTTTTTTAAATCTGAAAAACAAAAAGGAAGGAAAAGGTCAGATGTTTTCCCTTCTTACCTACAGAGGTTGCTGGTTATATTCCAGTATTTGTCTTCCTGTCTTTCACAGTTGGGTACATAGCTGCCCAGAGTAAAGCCTGTGTTTCCCAGCCTCCTGTGCACCTAGGTGTGTCCATTAGTGTGGTCAGTGGGATGTGAGCAGAAGACACATATACAACTGCCAGGCTGTGCTGCTACAGGGGAGCGGCACTCCTCCCTTCTCAGTCCTTGCTTCCTGTGGGCTGGAATGTGGAAATGACACAGAG